GGCCCCACACAGACTCCAACATCAGTTGAGCAGGGCCCAGAGGTGAAATCTGGCCGTTTGAAACTTCCCTGGTCTTCAGGTTAAACCAGCAGCACCTTTATACAGAAAATGCATGTAAAGCCAAAGTGCTAAGGAAAGGTGAAGCATGGCTGGAGTGAAGGGGGCTCCCCATCTGCAATGTCTGAAACCCAACGTTTGAGTGCTGCTGCCTAGAGATGGAAGGCAGAAATCACAGTCACATCGTTGGGTCAAAATTAGTCTCTCTTTAGAACAAAGACAGAGATGTTCTGAAGCCAACAAAGGTTTCTTGAAAGTTATGTAAAAATGAATTAAAAGTGGATGTCCAAATCCCTCAGACTGCTGAAAAAATTCCATCTAGGGATATCCAGCAAGTCTGGAGGAGTCCTTCATACTTCACTGAGGTCTAAAAGTTTGAGTTCATCCCCAGAGGGAGCTGAGGCCACACAGCACTTCACCCATAGGCCCTCTGTGAACAAAGTCTTGTGGTCAGAGGGGCTATCTTGAATTTATGTCTTACTTCTCCCCTTGTGAGCAAACAAAACAATTTCTATGAGTAATTCTACCCACTAATTGCCAAGGAAAAGTCTGGTAAAAAATGCTCTGCATTTTTGACAGGTCAGAGGCTTCCCTAAACAAAGTTGCTGTTTTATGTTTTCTATCAGCACATGTTCACATCCGGGGTCCTCGGTGAATTCCAGCGTGGATGAGTCTCTGTGGGAAATTGCTTTTCCCTATTTTCTTGTTCTAACTGCTCCAGGAAATGAGTCTATTTTTACAACAACACTAAACAGCAAAATATGAAACCATTATCTGCTTCATGGCAAGAGTTTCGGGTCAGTTCTCAGGTAACTGTCACCTCCAGAGAAGTCAATGGAGTTGTATCTGCTCATGCAAGGCAGAGACCTGACCAATTATGTAATTGGTTGATCAGTTACCAGAACACAGAGCTACCACAGGCCTAAGGAGTGTCTTGTTTTCATGCGTCTCAAAGTTCATCCAAGCCCTGATGCATTGATAAGTGAAGTATTCTAGTATTATGGTCTGTAAAGATGATAATTAACTGCTGAAAGATTTAAGCATGGGCCTTCTCCACGAGCATATACTTTATAACTGAATTATCCTTATAAGTAGTATCTCTTCTGGATCCTTTTTTTAACCTGCCAATTAAACCAGGGTGGGATTTTCAGAAGTGTTTAAAATGTTTTTCTCCTACTTATTTGTGATTACTTTCAAGAATGAAGATGTTTTCAAAATCCCTGGGGATTTCAAGCCCTGTAGGCTCAACTGCATCTCCGTGTGCTTCTGCTTTTTGCACACCTGATTTAACAGCTACTCTGAATTCAAAGCTGGACAGTAAACCCAGTTGCCTTCGTTATGCAAGACCAAAGACAGTACATAGAGGCCAAAACACCAGGTCTGATCTGAAAATGAGTGTGTAACATTTGTCACAAACTTGGCTCCTTATTTACTGGTTTCAGGGACTACTCCAGCCTTCACATGTGAACTTCTTTTCTGTTGACGCACTCAAGTGTCCCTTTTTTTGTGTATTTTGTCTAAGAATTTGGGAGACATCTGGCATGCACAAGTATCGGCCCAAAGAGAAATTCTTGAGTTGCTCAAAACTCAAACCAAGTCAGATTTGGTGGCCTGCTAGTAAGTCAAACATATAAATTATTTGATTTCTCTCTATGGGAAGAAGTAACCCTGGAAAAATGTGACATGAAATCTTCAAGTGACAGAAATTCTATCACCAGGACGCTCCCAGAATTTCATCCATTGATTATGAGCTAGACTAAGAGTTAGCACTTTCTTGCCTTCAGGCTGGGAAAGAGGTACTCATGACTTTCCCCCTAGTTGGAAAGCTCACCAAACGCCACTCGAGACCAGCATACAGAAAACAAACTTAGAGACAATATCTAAGGAAAACAGAACCTAACCTATGACTTGTTCTTTGATTTACAACTGTGATTGTGGGCCCCACCTCACAGTCATATGCCATGGTAATAGGCAGCAGTTCAACAAGAACCAGTCCTAACTTTTCACATGTTGTAGTGATTCTGAGCTACTTCAGCACATACTTTAGCCTGATGCAGCAAGTAATTAGAATGACTAAAGGGACAGGTGTCATGCCACAACTGAAAAAAGAGTGATCGAGCCTTTGGTCTTGTTTATTCTACCTTTCTAATTTTTTTTTTGGTTTTTTTTTTTGGTTTTTTTTTTTGGTTTTTTTTTTTGGTTTTTTTTTTTGTTTTTTTTTTTTTTTTGTTTTTACGCTAAAAGTTGCCAAATTTCATATGAAATTTGCTCTCAGTAATTTCTCTTATCTCAAATGTGTCTGTTATCAGTACAACTGTGAGTTTTCAAACTGTATCCTGAGGTACCCGACAGATCATCTGAAGTGGGCTCACTGGCATTAGCGACTACAGTCCTGAATCCACGTATGCCAAGAAAATATTTTCCCCAAAAATAACAAATTTGTAATTCAAAATGGAAACCTCCATGGGAGCAGGAGTGGCACACTCCCAGCTGTTTTCCTAGTTGTATACACAAGTCTTGTTACTTCATCCTTGGGGTTAATTACAAAATACTTCAACACTCTGAGAGCACAAAGACCCCCAGCCCACAACTGGGATCCTGTGTCAGGAAGGCACACACTAATTAAAAAATAAAGCATCAACTCTGCTCCATTTGCCTGAGGTCAATGGGATGTTTGTCCAAACCTAGCAGCATGCTCAGGCACCAGTTTGAAGATGAGCAAACACAGGCATCTCTTAAAGTGTTTTTCCATGTTAGGGCCTGGGAAAAAAAATTCAGATTGAGCCCATGATAAAAACAGTTCCCCATGGAAAAGTTACCCACACCATAAAAGGAAGGAATGACACTGAACTGAAGGAGAATGAAAATTGTCCACTGAATTTTTGTAAATTCCCATAAAATCTAAGTCTTGTTCTACGTGCATAATTTTGACTGTAAGTCATGAAAGGCTGACTCCTAAAAGAAGCAGGAAATGACTGGCTCATGATAGGATAAAAGGCTGCATAATTGCATGGGCAGAAAGATGGATTTTCATCAATCACTACATTCTCTGACAATATGGCAGTGGCTTTTGATCATGTATCCAATGCACAGTAATTAGGCAAAATGACTTACCCTCAATCTTTTCAGTATTTAGCTCTAAGGGTGCAAGGATTCATTCTTGGAAAGGGAAGATGGTCGTGTGATTTAGGGCACTGGATGAGCACTCAGATCTGAGTCCTCTCCCTGGTTCTGCCACAGCCTTGCTGTATGACCTTGCACAGGCTTTTCTCCATGCCTCGGTCTCGCCTAAAATGGGATAACAATAGTTCTTTATTTCAGACATAGGAATACAAACCAGCTCAAGGCTGTGCCACAGAGATGCTACAGCAAAGAGCAGCACAGAAAAGCTCAGACACGGAATAATGCCTTGCTAATAAAATGTGGGAACACAGACAGTAATTAAATTGAGTAATAAACACAAAACATAGGCTGATTTTTGAGGAATGCAACACTGATAGGCTTTGTACCTGAAATTAAAGGAAATTTAAATGGGATTCGTATGAGTTGACACGACTCTGAGATCTGCTAGCAGTACAAACTGTGTATTAGAAACACTAAGGAAATTACTTCATTCAGAACCTCTACGTGGTGTCTGTTTTACAGCAACCATGATTACCAGCCCAAGTGAGGGTCAGATAACTACTCAGAACAGTTTCAAAGCCATAGGAGGGGCCTACAAACATGATTTCTTCGATTTACAGCATGCAAATCTGATGTAGTTTTGAAACTTCAAAATAAAATCTGAAACATTCAAATTAAAACATAAATGGGGCCACTGATCCTAATTAAACTGTCAGATGTCTGGAACACCTTCAATGCCACTATTCCAGCATCACACTGCTGCTGGAATTGGACAGCGCTTCAGCAAAGAGTCTTCAGTAGTATTTTTCCAAATGCAAAGATGAATCTTTTTCTCTAAAGCATTTGCCTTTCATATTGAGGGCCAGTTATGGGCCTGTGGGTCTGGGAGAGAGGATCTCAGGGCACATGCCTAGATAAACCAACTAATTTGGAGACCACCAGATCAAAGGCTGTTCTACCAGGCAGGAGGAGAGAAAACAGATACGAGACACATCTTAGGAAGGGAAAATATTTTCTGAGAGACAGAAGCAAGAGGGACGGGAAAGTCAGGCAGAGAAGAGCTGGAAAACAGCCCACAGAAAGACAACATGGACCTAAGGAGGACAGGCAAGTGGAATGTTGAAGCCCATTGGAAGGAGGATGCTGTTTCGAGTAAAAAGCCTAAACCCAAAGTGCAGGAGCTACCTGGCAACCTGGGAGAGGATCAACTGCCTGCAGTCACTGTGCACTGCTTAACAAAGCAGACCCAGGCAGGACAGAGGACGAGAGAAAAGGAAAGCAAACTGGCACACAATCCTTGGTTTCACTCAACAAAAGTATCTCAAGGTCAGATCTAGAAAGACTAAGCACTGAATTAAATGCAATGAATTGACTAAAGAATCAGTGACCATGCACCATATTGTAATGCTGAGATTGGGTTTGGGCAGTCCTCTCTGTATGTCCTTTCTGATCAGACAAGACCTGAGACAAAGGCATAATCAGACCAAGAAGTTCTGGATCCCTGGATAGAGGAAATGAGTGCAGAATGTAAAACAGAAAAACATTTCATCCCCAAATTGCTGCCAACAATGTGGAAGGACAAAACCAACAAGGTGTTAACGCACTGCATGGAAGAGCAACTTTTGACAACCACCACCCTCAGCTCCATGAAGCCCCTACACACCCCCCACCCCACAAGTGACAGCACTGTCCATCAGATATCCTGTGGCTCCAATTGCTCACACCTTTCCCTGCAACACTCCAAATGCAGCACACTAGAAGTCCAGAGGGAGTCCACCTCCAGCAGACAGCAGAAGAAGATATGACACGGCATTCACGAATGCACAGAGAACTGTTTAATTTACAGCCACAATGGTGAAACAAACCATTTCAGAGCTTGGACATTCAAAGTTAAGTCTGACACTCATTCTCATATTCACTTATTGTGCTTAAGTATTAGAGAACACAGGATTACATTAACCATACACGACAATCTGAGATCCCTGTGGGACCGAGGAGTGGGAGGGATGAGCAAGAATGAGGGACCAGCCCCTCAAGTGGTGTAAGCTGGTACAGCTCCATTGCAGGCAACAGAGCAATGGTGATTTACACCAGCTGAGGATATGGCCCTTGAAATGTCCAACTTAACTTTGAATTAACAACTCCCATGTCACAACCTTTAGTGTCGCTATTCCTTCTGGTTGTATCTGCCACTTTGAAGGAGAACTAATCCCACAACCCGCCACGGTCCCAAGGCTGGCAGGTGAGAGCTCAGCTGGACTACAGGAAGTGATGCTCATGTCGTGACACTACTCCTCACAAGTTAACAGCCATGGACTGCATCCTCATCTGATGTAAATTAGCTTGGGGCCATCTGAAGTCAGAAACATTTGCCAATTTATAGTAGCTGAGAACATAGCCCTGAGATTTTTGTGTTTTCTGCCGCATGCTGTATGAACACTGTGCTTGACAACAAAGACTCATGTGCGTTTCATTCCTCGTAACAAAATTAACTCAAGACTGCAAGTCTCAAACAAACGGCTATTGGAAAAGTCCCCATTCAGTCTTCACTCTCTCCTGGTGTGCTGAATTTGGCATAACACGTTTATTTGCTGGCACCAACAAAACCTCTCGGTTTGCTTTGTTTTCTACACTTTGCTACAAGGCCAGACTCTCTCGTGATGTAAATCAGAGCTCCAGCATACCCAGGGGAGTCACTCCCAAAGAGCTGGCCCACAAACCCAAACACAACCTTCTCATGCAAGTCCAACCACAGGACTCTTTCCAAGAGTTGTTTTGCAAACTATTCCACTTAAGTGACTTTGACATCCTTTCATACCTGCACAGTGTCTGAGTGGGTCACATAATGCTTTTCATCTACACGATTTTAATGGATATATGTTTGGTTTTTTTCTTTCATTAGATATCTTTTTGACAAAAAAAAAAAAAAAAAAGGAACGGAGCAACATTATTGGCATCCCACTGAAACATAAATATATAAATTACATTTTATACACCTTTTTAAACGCAGACACATACATTCATGTGCATAACATTGTGAACAGTACACTTAGTGGAAAACAAGCACAGACAATCTTAGTTAAATGTACTTCCAGTTTTGGTGCTCAACAAATACACTGGGAAAATGATCACAAAATAGAACGGTGACTAACTCTATCTCTGCATTAGCAACTGAAGCCAATAATGCCTGTTAGCTAACATTGCTTTGTTTGGTTGAATTTGGACATAGCTACAGGAACAGGAGGGGAATGTTTGAACTATATTTAGAGAAATGGAAAGGTTAAAAATCTTGCTGTCTTTTTGTTGTTTGAAGGTTCTGCAGTTCATTCACATTTGAAGATATTTTTATTTGAGTGGAAACACTGTCTTCAAGACAAACTTTTTTGTTGTTCCTAACTAAGAAAACTCTTTCATCTCTTTGTAGATGTTTCACAAATAAAAGAATCCAGTAGTTCATTTTACATATCCAATGTAATAATCCAAATAAAACAAAGGGTACATAATCCAAACTACTGGGGTGGGGCAGTGATTTTGGCCAAGTGAGTAGCCATGTCATATCTGGCACAGCCCTAAATTTCCAAAGCAGTACAGAAGGATTTATCCATGTGGCTCCCTCTGCAATCTGTGGGGAACTGAACATATAATCCTTTGGAACTTTGAAAATACAGGAGCTGATGCCAGAGTATTTTATCTGCCCTGCTATATTTAAAATAGATTTTGATGTTATTTGGGCTATTCTACTACAAAAATATGACCACAAAATGCTTTTTTTTTCTTTTTTTCTTCTTTTTTTTTTTTTTTTTTTTTGGTTCAAGAAAACATAGCAGGCTTTCTCAGGTATATAAAACTGTTAATTTTTAGATAAAAATACAAACTTCACCTTTACAAAAACACATATTTCTGTTGAATACACATAAAGCATAACATTTTACCAAAAATAAAGAATTTTAGGTTTTGTTCAAATATTTGCAGCAAGGTAGTTCCCATGCCACCATGACATTATACAATGCAGATACAAGAATTTGTACATTTCACACAGCTCCAACATGTGAAATAAAAGTATCTGTATACTGATAAGAATGACAATTGCTAACACAATATCACTAGTAGGCAACTGGCATAAGTCTTAAAGAAAAAAAAAAAAAGGATTTTTGCATGGATATCCTATGATTTGTTTACGCACATCTCTCTTTTTTTTCTCTTTTTATTTTTTTTTCTTTTATGTAATGCTTTAAATTACGGGGGAGGTTGGGGAACATAAACCAAGAAACGTCTAGAAAATTATGCATAGGTATACCATTTTTATTTTAATACATCTCATTAGTTTGCATCCCACTAGGAGAAATACCATAATGTTTTGTGTTCTGCTTATTGTTATACCAGTCTTTTATATGTGTTATTGGCAAATGTAGTCCAAGAGATAATAAAAAGCTAGGCAAAGAGTAAAAAGAAAACTTAATAATCACTTTATGGTGTAAAAAAAAAATCCACTTAAGGCTCCCCAGAAGGTTTTTTGTATAGACTTTTAAAACACCACCAAGCAAGGATGTATTGTTCTATAGTGTTTGCGTGGCATTTGATCATTTCATACATTCCTGCTTTTTTTGTGCCTGAAGTCCACCAGTGTCCATCCATCTTCATCAAGAACGCAGGCACATGTCTTGACGTAAAGCACCGTTGACTGCTCTGACAGAAATCCACTATTCACTTAGATTTTTGTCATGTTTTTTAGTTCTTTTGGTATCCTCCATTCATTCAACTGTCTTTTTTTCTTTTCTGTTTTTCTTTCTTTCGTTTTTTTTCTTTTTTGGACAGGGAAGCTTCCTATTGTTTCACAGAGTGCTACAATACTTGCTTTGATGTCACATTAAACAAATGTACATTGTCTCTTTGTTCTCATTAAGTGTTCTTTTGAGCCAGTTTTTTCACACAGGAGAACAAATAAAGTATACAGTCAATAAGCACCATACATAGTAGGTTCAGGAATGTAACAAACCATGTACATCCATGTCCCAGAGAGAAGTTTTTTTTCTAGCTTATTTTCACCTTACATCTGCAGGAGAGAAAAAAGATACAATAACTCTATGATTAGAATCAAAGGTCCTGTCCTTGAAGAAGATGACTTAAAAAAAAAACTGTTCTGCATGAAGAGTCACTAACCTGGGACAAGAAGTTCTAAATGCTGTTTTGATTGAGTTTACATGCTCACTTTTAAAGTTGAATTTTAGAAAATCTTTGCTTCTATCATACTACTCCCAATAAATACCTGTTAATCTGAAACAGGATATCAAGTTTAGCATTCTTTAGAAATCATACATTGGTATAAATGAAAACTGCCACTGGGAGTTCATGTGCAAAAACAGGGGCTTGAAATTAAATTCACCATCATCCAGGCGTTAGGCACAGACACTGCAAAATCCAAACCATTCCCACTCCAAATACCAGAATCAATTGCAAGTGCTGCAGTTTACACACTTTCAAGTCATTAAGAAATGGAAATTCCATATTTAATTTGGAATGTGTGTCGCCATCATCATACATTGCTAATATATTGGCCAAAGGATTTCAGTCATTTTTGCACTTAGAGGGTGTTAGTTTTTCACTACTCTGAAAACCTCATGAATTTTGATGACTGACTATCATCATCCTACTGAGACTGAACAGACCAAAAATAAAGATCTTAATTTTCTGGTGTAAGTAACACAGGACTCTGCAACACACACAAAAAAGGCATTTCTTAGCATCTTTCTGGTCAAGTAAGCAGATCATCAGACTGTGTCAGGTGCATGTGCAATCAACCCCAGTTCGTGCCAGAACATGGGTTTGATGGCCACACAAATAATAATATTTGCTGTATGTGCACTCAATGTTTCACAGCCAAGGACTGGGAACACAATGATTTGTAACCTGGCAATTCATTCATGCATTATCACATGATGCTTTGACCTCAGAAATCAATAATAATGAAACACAAGCAGAGGCAATGGAACTTGAGATTTCAGAAGCTGAAGTATTAGCACCCTCCAATAAAAAAGAAATAAAAAAGGCAAGAAAAGGAAGTAGCTCAAGAATGAAGATGCTGATGGTGATGTGGAGCTTAAAGGGAAAATACCAGCAGGTAGAATTATCAAAGCCAATCAAATCTAATCTCTTTGCAGCCTTGAGGTAGCAAGTGTCAAGATTTTGAACAGTGATTAAGTTGAAGTGATGATATTTGATTAAGTTTTCCAGTACTTGTGCTATTAGGGTGTTCAGCATATAGGTCCTACCTGAATATCAAATAGTTCCAGTAGGTTTTATGTTGGTTTTAACTTTTTTCGTTTCCGTTTTTTACCTGATTCCCTAGGCCTTCCTGTTAACATAAGGGCAGGGCTGGTGAAAAGCCCTAAGGTAATGCATTTCGTGTAACACTGAAGTCATAAATACTCAAACCGTTTACATTTCAAAGAAATCTCATTATCCTTTGCATTAAAGTAATAACTTTATAACCTCTGATTTGACATTGAGTTTACAAAGTAATTACACAAAAGTAAAGAAATAATAAACGAAGTTGGCATTGCCCACGTCATTCCCAGGATCCATCTATAATTACTGTTACCATGCAGTACTCAACATTTGCCTTCAGCTCTGGAGTTGAGCTATTTTCAGCTCACCATCCACTTGCTGGGTGCAAGTTTTGCTCCTATCAGTAATTAAATCCTAGAAATACGTATTTTTCCATGATAATTCTGCCCCAGTTTTTACATATATCAAAACCAAAAATTTTGATCTTAAAATCATAGCTGCTTAGTCTATAGCAATTAAAGATAATTTGGAAAACTGAAATAGATCTAATGGAACTTTTTTTTCCAAACAGGAGACGTAGGAAATGTATCAAACCATACCCACATTAAAAATAGCCACTTTATATGTGGTTTTGTCTAATAACTCCACCTAGTTTCAGCTAAACACTCAGCTCTGATTATAAACTGATGTCCAGTAAAATTGCAGCAGAGGTCTAACTTTGCTTTTATAGAAATTCTAACTCCTCTGTTCTGTACATAGCAACTGAAGTTTACATTTACATTTGAAGTTTACATTTGGACCAGGTTTATGTCTCCCTGCTGGATGGAGCCAGTACAGAAAACCCCTCCTCACCCAGCCACCTACAAAATCTATCACCTTTGGGCAGCTTTCCTCTTGTTTACCTGCTCTTCACTGACTCTTTAATTTTTGGATGGTTCTACTGCACCCTTAAATTCCCTGCAGAGGTGCAAAACAAACTTTTACAGCTGCCTTCACCCAGTATCAGGAGAAAAGGAAATGTCCTTTTTACCATAGCGGGTTTTCTGAATAAGTGTGATGAGCTCTGCATTGATTGCACTGTAGTAAGTAGATCAGAGCCAATGATTTAGATTAATTCAAAATGATTTTATGAAAGCCAGATTGAAAGTAATTTTTCCCCACGAATCTTTCCCCATTGTAACACAAAGGTTGTCTTGACAAGGCAAATTCAGGTTCAATGCAACAACTGACAAATTCTTGAGTATACATACGTAAGGAAACAATGGGAATGAGCAATGTTGTTTCCAAACTAACTCCTCAGCCCTGAATCCTGAATTTATTCCCAAGTGCTTTATGTTAATTTAATTCATATTTTCCCCAAGGTCAAGTAAATTTCAGTGTTATCCACAAAGTCAAAGAAATTAGGCAACAGAGTTCATCCACGAGCTGCAACATGACAACCTTTAGCTTAGTGGAGCAAGACCTGAACACTACTGGGCATTTGTATTTATTTAAAGGCCAACCTAATGGGAAGTGATACACATTAAATTTGAAATCCAAACTCCTTATACAGCACAAACTGGCCCTCATTTGGCATCTTCAACACAGAGAAGTAGCTGGGAGCTTCTCTACTCAGTTCACTGTAAGCAACGTTTGTTTTATGTTCTTTACTAATATAAAAACGAGGTCCATATGAAATCAGCATTAATGCAAAAATAAAAGGAAAACATACCAGTTTCTTCTTCTCTATAATCTGAATTAGTATTTGATGATGTACAGGTGCATTCCATATGCTCTTCTAATCTCACCAGAACTTCTTTTAATTTTGGCTTTTTTCTAACATACTCCACTTTTGCCACCTATAAAATACGATGAGGTATGTACTGAGACACATCAACATGGTTACAGTTCAGAACTGAAGACAGATAACTATATACCTCTATTTTTAATGTAGCCAAACCCATACAAAATGTTAGCATACTAATCATCTTTTATCTTAATTGTGCATCGTGTAACTATTTATTGCACAGACTATTTGTTTATTCAAGTTCAGTAGTTCCAAACAATTTTCCCCCAAGAGATAAAACAATTTCCCATTCATTTTGGTTTGATGTTTTAAGCAACTCAGTTTCCACATGTATCACAATAAACTTCTATACAGATTCAAATCAGTGGTTTTTCTTGTAAACTGCCACTTTTAGCTCGATCTTCTGTAAGTGTTGTTCAAGGCTGAGAGTGAAAGCATTAGTCTGGTTTGTAACACATTTTATTATTTACAAATTGGTGTCTCCAGAGCCCTCTGAATGTGAAGTGCTCAACCCTATATGACCAGGAACTGAACATCACCTTGGAAAGCAGTTTCATTCCTACCCACTCCCTGCAATAACCTGGGGCTTGTTCACAAGAGCTCTCAAGCACAGTTTTTAGGACCAAGGGAACCACCACTCCTGAACTGAGTACAGCCTTTGGCTTTATTGTGGAAAGCTGGCAGACAGAATATTTCTCCCCAGTCCTTCCAAATGTTCACAACTGCACTGCTCCACTTCTGGCATCCTTCAAACAAAAAAGTCTGGAGAGCAAGTTGAGGTTGGAGGAAGGATTATGCTGGAGCAGAACAGAAGGATGTTTGGGCGGGGGGATACTGAACATGAGGACATCCTGACCCACAGGCTGGCAGCCAGGAGAGGAGGAATGGCAGAGAGGGCAGAGCACTGATGTTCTGGGGTGCTGAAATGGCTCGTGGGATGCTGGGCACTGACTTGTGCTAAGTGTAGTGGGCATGATGGTCAGGGCCATGCAAGGGAATATTGGCCTAATGTGGGCAAGGAGAGTGCTAGAGAGTTTGCAAGGGGTCCAGTGTTTAGCTCTCAACTGTGTTGAACACCGCAGAATAGGTGGTGAGCATTTGCTTGCAATGGCAATCACTGCAATTAAATCATGGCTTCTCAGAGCTACTCATCTGACAATAGGGCACTGCATGGTGGCTGTCCCAGCAAACAAGAAGACTACAAATCCCAGGGATGCTATATAAATGAGGTGAGGGAGCTGAAGGACAGGAGAGGCTGGTTGTCTCTACAGAAGTTACATGAAAAAGCCATGAAGGCTGGTCCATCCAAAAGCTCCAGTCACCACCAAATAAAGTATCCACAGTGACACTCCTAGCCATGATTTCCTTGTGTGTTTGGTGGGATTCAATGCTCCAAATCAATCTTCATACTGCGAAAATTATTCCCTTGCCCTTTCAAAACTGGAACAACAGTGTCACAAAGTAACAGTGGTGGCTGGAAAAACCCATTCTATTGCCAGTTCCCAGAAACACTCTTCTGTGTTTCTGGGGTCACAACTATCAAGGGCCTCTGAATGCCAGTGAGAGAAGCTAGAGCAAAATCCTCGTCTTTCTAAAGCCAACGGGAGATCTGCCTGAGCTTTCACAGAGCAAGGAGTTCAGATCCATGTTTTAGTCACCACCCCTTGTGTCAACAGGATCTGGAGATGATTTTCATTTCATCCAGCAAACAAAAGTTACAGAGACAGATGCAATAACTAAAGTACCCACATTAAAAGGTATCTTCTGAAACTGTCAGGTCTCCATGTAAACAGATTACAAGCTGGCCATGACATACCAGAACACTTTATCTGAAAGACTATGGGTTGAAGCAGTTTCAAAATTTCCTATCAGAAACCAACTCCATCAAGCCTTTGAACATGATGATTTGAAAATGTATGGTACAACTGAATCATCTGGCGTCAAAGGATGACTAATCTTTAAAATTTATGAAAACAAACAGTAATTAAGACACCTCCATCATCAGAGACAAAGAAAGGGACCCAGCAATCACAAAACAGCTCTCAGATCTGCCATGCTTATTACAGCTGTTAGAATAAACCAGTCTCATTGAAAATTACATGCAACAAAAATAAACTGTAATCAAGCTTTTAAAAGCCTGTCCTTGTTTCGCTTGGTTTTACAAACTGAAAGATATATGCAGTTCCTGTGGCTATTTGGTATTAAACAACAGTTAAAAAACCAGAAACTAATACTTTGTGGAGGATCATAATGAATTTATGCAGCAATTTAAAGCTGGCTTTAATATTGTAGTTAAAATACAATCCAGCACATGTTCCACTGCCCTACTTCACGCTACACAAGTTAAAGGAATGTCATTTTGTAGATGTAGCAAATACTGCAAGTGAAGCAGCACAAACCACATAAGCTGCTGTTTCTGTCACCTGTTAAGACCTGCTGCCACACACAATGCTGATCTACAACGATGAAGGCTGCAGGTCACATTTTCAGTGGGAATAAATAGGGGTAGCTGTGCCAACAGCATGGGATTTGGCCTTGTGTGCAAATGATATTTCCTTCTTTGTATTTTTCTCCCTGGTGTTCATATTGTACAGTCTCTCAAGTGTATTACACAAAACTTTGAGATGGTCAGTCCTCGACAAATCAACAAGCTCCTTTTACCTGTCTCTAATGTAACAAAAGTAAAAAGCCCTCCAGATCCAGAAAGTATCACTACATAAAAACTCTTTGAGAGCAAGAGAGTGAAATAACTGTTTAGCTTCTCAAGTGGTATATAATCAGTGACACCATACTTGCATCAGTGTAGATTCTAGGTCTACATCCTGCAATACAGTGTGGTGGCTAAGTAAAAATGAAAATAAAATCTGATAAAAATGCGGCCTAATGGAAACATCATGGGAACACTTTTTTTTTGAGATCCTCCAGGAGAGATGAAATCAGGGATTAATAGCAGGGTAAAAAAAAAAACAAGACTGTAAGCAGAAATGTCCAGAACACCTCCAGTATGAAGCTAAATTTTATCACGGGCAGGCTTGCAAGAGAAGTGTCAGCACAGAAAATTCCTCATAACAGCAGAACTAATGTGCTGATACCTAAATACTGGATGGAAACAAGCCCAAAAAGCAACTGAATGAGGATACTTCTTGGAATCATGTATTGCTTCCATAGTAAAACAACTGCATGCAGATACAATGGTGGAAAACCTGTCTGTGAGGAAGATGTGAGTCAAGAGGGACTAAAGGACTGGGGAGGCATCAGGAGCCTTCAGGGCCTGGCAAATCACTGCTGCAAGGACAGGAGGGCAGGAATGGCTGTGTGGGGTCTCTGTGTCCCTGACCAGAGCAGCCAGACCCTGCCAGGCTGACAGGGCTTCCCATGCTCCAAGGGCACCTCGCTGCTTTTCCGCCTTCACCTCTGTCAGGGTTTCCTTTGTTTCTCCCATTCCTAAACTGACCTTTGATACCTGGTCCTGCCTGCAATTGCAGTTAGGTCACAGCTCAATCCAAGTGTTCTTATCCCAGTGGTAGAAGAAAAAGGTTCTTAAGCCAGCAGATGTGACATACAGCCATTTCACCTACACATCCCATGTGCTCTGCAAGGCCTTTCCCACCTGCTCTGAGGCTGGGTAGCTCTGCTGAACAACTCATCCTGAACTCCAGCATTTTTTCCAACCTCTGATCAACCCTCCAGTGACAGCTGAGGAGCTGCTCCTGCATTCCCTCCCATCCAGCTCCTTTTCTCTGCACCTCACCCTCACATGAATGTATTCTAAGAATATACCAGGTTAAAATTCCCCAGATCAGATCGACATTGAATATGCAGAAATGGCTGAAGCTGGCAGGGCTTCTGCTCAAGGCCAACCTGAGGCAAAGCTGAGGGAGATGGAGTCATTTAGCTTTTGTTTCTTAATTTGCATATGAACATTGCTGCAAACAATCATATTGTTCAGCTTGGCTATTCAAAATTAGTAGTATAGCCAGGATTTGCTCCATAATATTAATGATTTTCTGCTTCTGTGATCAAACCCACCAAGAGCAACACTGTGCTCAAAAGCCTTTTGGGAAGACTTTTGTTCAGAACCCCCCAAATAAATTAATCTAGTACTTGGTAAGTACTTGAACTCACTGGACAGAAGTAACAGATCTGCAGATGTTACTGAAATACTTTTGCAAAGAGGAGAAAATCCCTCTATAACAGACACCAACACCCCTAACTTCCCCATCCTTGTCACCATTGCTCTATGAGGACAGAAATAGAATCCTTTCCTTCCCATCAAAGATCAGCTCCCAGCCAGTCTCTCCATCTCAGTCTGAGTTCTGCAGGGCTGTGCAGGTGCAGTTGGCTGAACACAGATGTCTCTTTAGGGCCAGAGCTGTGCTCCCATGGGCTCACTGTCACCATGCAGGGCAAACCCACCTTTCACTAATGAAACCCACCCCATGAAAGGGAAACTTTACAAGACCCATTTCAGGGAAGCTGTTCCACCAACCCCTCTTGCTTGGAGCCTCCCTATAGCTTCAATTCCACATTAATGGGTATTTCACTGATGAGAGCTCAGTGAAGATGGAGAAAGGACATCCCTGAACCCTCCAGCCTTTGAATCACATCCCAGGAATGACATGCACCAACACAACCATCTCCACTGCTCCTCCCACACTGCCCCAGCCGTCTCTTAACCTTGACTACAGTGGCCCTCAGAGAGACAAAGAAAACACCCTTTGCTTTTGCCTGTTGGATGATGCAAACCCACTTGCTGACCTTTCTGGATGAACATTTTTCTAGTGTGAATGGGCCAGCTATGATCTCACTACCTTGTCAATGAGGAGGAAGTGGGGAAAGCCTTTTCAAAGTTCCATCAAAAGAGAGCTTTTATGCAGTCTGACATCAGGGGAAAACACAAGCCGGCTTTCCAATGCACTGCAGAGCAGCTGAGAAGGCTCTCCAAAACCGCTCCCACCTTTCCAGGGACCCTCGCTCTGAGCCAGCTACTTAATGGCATGAGCAGACATTCAGCTCTAAACTTAGGATTGGCAAAAGGCTCAGAAAACCATCAATTACATCAAAGCTACAAGGGGATCTGACTCTGGAGGGCATAAATATGGATTCTGTTCTAAGAGTTCTGGTGTTACAGTGGGGTCAGCCTACAACCTTTACAATGAACATCCTGTTCCTGCTTGACCTCTTGTCCTTTTTTTCCCCTGCTATTTAATGACTGTTTGGAGCAGTCTTGGAGCTTGGAAAAAAAAAAAAATGTCCTCCAAAGCTGGCTGACGTATATTGATATTGCTGGTGGCAATATATTTACACAGCCACGAAAAGCAGCTGCTCAGCTGAGCCTACTTTTAGTTTGTGCCCTACTAAAATGAATGCAAGTCTAAAAGCACTACAAGGGGCTGAGACTGAAATTCCTTCAATGTGGTGGTGTGCTGGGGAAGCAGCCCCAGCAGTGCCATCCTGCAAAGCTGCTGCCAGGAGTTTGCAGCTCTTAGGGAACACTCGCTGTCCCAGCAGCAGGGGGACAGCCAAGACCCTCTGTCTCATCTGTCATCTCTCCCATCCCTCAGGGGTAGGAGAGAAGCACAATACCACAGTATTGTTCAGTATCACACACAGGTACCAACAGCAAGTTCATCACACACATGTCAGCTCTTTGCTGAGCACATCCAGCTGCTCTGTACGTGTTTGCTGCTACACAAAATCAAGTGCAAACTGCATCAAACCCAAAGGCAACAGCACTAAATATCACAGCCCTGAGGCACTTTGCTTTTTAGCTCCTATTCAGAAAGGTTTACAATTGTAGTCTTTCAATCTCTCCAGTTTGTTCTCAGCCCTCAAATAATTATTGATCCAAATTTTTACATAATTTTTAATTGTTTCTGCAAAGCGTATCCCACAAAGGCAAGGCAGCAAGCAAGTGTAAAGTATAATTATTTTTAGGAACACTGAAGGAATCTCAATGTTTCTCCAGCTTATTTGGATGCAAAAACATTTTTCTCAGATGTTCAGAAACAGAAAAGAAAAAGAAATTCTGCCCAGACAGGTCTGCATGTATGAAAAACAGTGTATGAAAAACAATGAAATGGCTTAGGTGCCTTATTTTTGTTTTAGGATATACAGCACTAAGTGAACAGCACTTTTCTAAAGAAATCCATTGCAAGTGAAGCAATCAGTGTGTTGTGCTGAGCAATTTTACGTTTAAGAATGTGGTGGGGTTTATTTTAATTCTGCTCTTAAGAAATTCAGGGCAACAAGAACTCAGAGTCTTCACAATATGAATGCTAAGTGTAAGTCTAATCTCCTACACACAGATGTAGATCAACAGTACTTGTTTAAATACTGATAAAAATTAGAACACAGTGAAGCCAAATGAACATAAATATTTCACGTAATATTTACTGGAAAGTTGCAATAGGGATTTTGTCTAATGAGTAAATACAGCATGAAGCTGTTGAGTCTAATATCCCTGGGGTAAGATAATTTGAAACACATTTTTTCAGATCAAAAGTGTTATGTTGTCAAATGTAAAAGCCCAATTTAGGCTGCATAATATTTAATTAAGAAAACAGCATTCCATACTGTGATTTATTTATTTTTTTAAGTCCAATGCCCCTTGAGTCATTTTATCTTCTTAACTTTAAGATCTGTACTGTGCGAGATCATGGGAAAGGCACAATCAACTTTATTTTCATTGTAAAGAAAAAAAAAAAAAAGAAAAAAAAAAGAGAGAGAGAGAAAACCTAAAGGGAATCCTGTGAAAACCAAATCCAAACCCAAGATTTTCCAATGACCACGTCACTTGAAAAAGCCATAAACGGAGAGGGGCATTCTGTGTGAGGAAGGACAGCAGAGATTTGGGCGACACGGGCACAGGGGTAAGTGGAGTTCCCGGGCTGATGGGGACCCAGGCAGGGCCCTGCTCACCTTGACACTCCTGTGGTGTATCCGGGAGGGCTGGCACTTGACGCTGCTGGTGTTGCAGCAGCCGGTGCAGCGCTTCACCTCCACGCAGGGCGGCCATATCAGGAAGTTGGCCGAGGTGGGGTCGATCTGGCTCCGAGGTATCTCGTAGATCACCGTCCGCGTCTTGCACACCGCCGGGATGGCCTCCTCTGCGGGCACAGGAGAGTCACAGCCAGGGTGAGCAGCTGCCAGAGCACCCACGTGGGTGAGGCACACGTGGGGCCAGTGCTCCCAGTCCTCACCGGTCACTGGCAAGCCAGTGCTGAGCGCTGTGCGCTCGCAGCTGAGCTGTGGTGTTACCCTGGGGACAAGCTTGACTCGCTCCCAAAGCCCAGCCCTAAAATGAGGGTTTCCAGTGGCCTGGCTCCTGACACAGCTTGGAGCACATACCATGAGATAAGGCAATCCTGGCTCTGGGAATGACAGCAAGCCAGGAGCTCCTCCACATTCAATGACCCCCTAGTACAGAGTGACTGTGACTCCTCAGAGTGACTGTGCAACAGCAGCTGTTGCTTTCCAGCACTGGGGTCATCACTGCACACAAACACCATCACACAACTGGCAAACACTGCCTCAGAAGTTAAACTGAGGATTCTCTGTATCATACCCAATTTGCACAGCTGGGAAACAACCTGCACCAGCTTGAAACTTTCAAGACTTGGGTTTCCACTTCCAGAACTTTAACATCCCCACATCAGGGAGTCTGGTTCATCCACCATTCCAAAGGGCAACTGCCATTTTTTCTGCAGTCATCAAAGCTTTGTAGATGGTGGGTTTTATTTAATTTGTTATTTCTTGAATGATGCAAAACCACCAGAGTAGCATGATGGAAAAACCTGCAGTTAAACCAATATCCTGGTGGGCTCAGGTAAGGTGAGCTTGTTTAGGATTATAAAGAGTAGCTCTGTATTACTGTGTGATGCTGCCATAATCCAAACTATGTATCATCATCAACCTAGGGACTGTTTAAGAAGTCAAGCTGGTATTTCAAAACAATCCAGAAAAAATAGCAATTTCAGGGACAGGTTGTTTGCTGATAAGTTCTCCAAAGACAGCTGGGATTTTTTTTTTCCTTACAGTGGAAGCTTGTGATAGCTTTGGGTTAGATGTGTCAGGCAACTGGAACACTGCCTGCACTTCTTCACTTAGTTCTTCAGCACAAGAAGCTCAGGCCTAGCCTGTGCCTGCAACATGGAAATCTAGGCTTGGTTTTGAAAGATGCATTTCAATAGACTAAATAGAATGAAAATCCTTACTCTCAGCCCCCAGTGCCATGAACTCAAGAAAATTAACAGATGCAATACTGCAAGAGAGCTGGCAACTCCCACAAGTTATTGAGCACACCCAGTTCCCAGTGCCTCTGGTGGGGAGGCATCCAGCACCTTGCAGGGTGAGGTGCCAACGTCGCCGGCTGCTTCGGCACCGCTGCTCTCCCCAGGCAGCCAAAGTGCCTGCCAACTCACACTGCAAATCCCTGCTGACAGCAAGCTGGGCTCTCTCTTCCTGCCACCACAGCTCCAAGGACAAACACGCTGATTTACCCACCAGGGATGGCACCATGGATGTTTTCCACAGGCCAGCGGAATGGTGGAACGCTCACACCTAATCAGATGAACAAGCGCTGCACATAAATCCTATTTGCATGTCCCTTTTTTAATTTATGTTTGGGCTTTTTTGCATCCTCCTCATCATTAATAAGGATAAAATCCCTTGTAAATATGCCTGGTGCCCTACACTGTGACGGAAATCAATGCCCCAGCGTTTCCATCAATGGCTTTTAATTTTTGGGATAAACTGTATTTTTCTTGTGAATAAAGAGTCAAGCTGTTTCCTTTTGTGGAGCTTCTGTACTGAAAACTCTACCAACTGTTGATGTTTTTTAAAGCACACTGCTGTAGTTGTTCCCCACACTATGAATTATACATTGAATATCACAGCATTTTCTAACTGAGGTCTAGCTTTCCAACATGCTGCAACAAGAAAGTGAATGTAAAGAATTTGTGCATGTCTGTCTCCTATGGACATCCTCCAGAAGACAGCTTCTCAAGCAATGGCTCGTTTTGTGCAAAAAGAAAGGCAGAAGCTAGAAATGGCCCTTTTTTTCCTTTGTGCATGTCACATTTTTCCAGTGAAATGTCCTGCTTGGCTGAGCAAAGGCACCCCCTCTGCTTTCACTCCCAAAGTACAAATAGATTGTTTCTTACCAATGCTTCTTTTTCTGCGAATGGGCACAGGACGGTTCTCTTGCACATGTTTAGCAGAATGAACACTGTAAGATCTCAAGTTTGTTTCTGAAACATCATCATATCCTAGAACAGGAAACAAAATGTTAAACCTCAGGTATGTTATGTGCACCAGTGTTTCTACATTGCTGCTCCACAGGTACAAATCTGTGCTGTTCACAGACACAAGACCAAATCCTGCTACAATCAGTCTAATGTAACCCCTGTTAATGCAACTGCAAGGGCATAAGGCAGGGAATAAAGACACAGACATGGAATGTATGTATAAGCATACACAATTTAATTCCAATATCCATTTTACTGAAAGCCCCCAGAAACACTGCACACACTGTGGCACAGAACCATATCTAAATTAAAACAGTTGCATTTTTATGTGGAAGGCATAATACGGCTTTTCTTACTGGAAAGGTGTAGAAATAGGAACAATAATCCTGCATGTGAAATGTTTCTTACAAACATTTTGAAGTTCTGGTATGAGGCAACAGTAGAAAATATGGTATTAGACCCAACAGCAACAATGCTGCCTCTGTAAATTTTCTGTTGCTTGGTTTTCAGGGCAGTACTAGGGCAGAATCAAAAGCAAAAAGTAACTAGCATGGGTTTCCTTTTAGCCTCTCTGTTGCAGAACAAATCCCCTGTGAAGTATCCTAACCTTTGGAGGGGCATCTGAAGCTACTGCAAACTCTGGGACTGCATCCAGGCTTGTCTTGTTCCCTAAATAAGCCTACCACATGGGTTAAAGGGCCATGAGAAAAAGCAAAGATGGAAAACTTGGCATTTCATTTATCATAAAAAAGCAACAAAATAACTGCTCCAACTATTTGGGTTTGTTAAGTGAAGCAGTTCAGGTCGTGTCCCATGCCGTGGGGTCTGAAAACCACAAGCACAGTCTGCAAACAGGGGATGAGGAAGAAGGAACCAAAGAGGGAACTGCACACAGACCCCAGGACACCCAAACTAAGGGGTTTAGCACTCTGTTGCTTGGAGTGTCCTCTGGAACATCACTGCAGAGTTTCAAGGTTTCACTGCTGGCTCCTAAGAAAACTGTGACATGCTCTAAAAAAATGCAAAAGGGCATTACACAGTACTCAATTATCCTCTCTGCAAGCTACCAACACCCTACACTCCCATCTTCTGCACTGCCACACTCCCTGCTTCCAGTTTGTTCTGTACACACAGCTGTCTGTCTCTGGAACTTGTTTTAATCTCAGCTTTATTAGTAACACACATCATAAGGCTCTGCTTCACAAAACAACCAACTCCTTTTCTCCTCCCTCCAAGAAATTGTGCCCTAAGGAACATGCAGCTTGTGAAATCACCTGTACAACCAGGTGAGACAGGAAGACAGCAGGATCTTCAGCACCTTAGAAAGAGTTTTGCATCCCAGGGTTTGTCATTACTTCTTGGAAAATACTATTGTAAGTAGCTAAGAGAAAATAAAATCGGAAGTCCTAGAGGTAGTGGCAGGATCACCCACTGGTCCTGCCTATTCTCCTTATCAGCTGAACAGATCCTTGTATGAAATTAGTCATTAGTCTCAGTTTATCCAAATAAATTGGCTCCTAGTTCCTATTTATGGTACTTGTTTCCCCTAGATTTCTATGGGAAATTTTGGAATCTGACTAATTAGCTGGTATTGGGCCTTATTTGCAGTCCCAGTCCAGTAATGTAACACAGCAATGACTAAAGGGTATTATTTCTGCTTTTATTGCACCCCATACTCCAGAAAACTCATCAGTGGTATAAATAAAATGGCTTGCCAGAGATCCCACAGGAAGTTTGCAACTGAGCTGGGGAGTGGAGCCAGGTCTCCCACATCCCATTCCAATGGCACCAGGCCATCCACCTGATCCCAAATGGTGTTATGCAAAATGAGGATCCGTTCTGATGTGCCTCCAGCCCTCTTCTGTTTCCTAGCACTCAGCCACCCAACACCTTAATACTGACCTCCTTTTTGGCAGCTTCAAGTTGTCACAACCTCTCCCTCAATTTGAGGCAATGAAGTGATACTTGAAAGCAGCATGAATTCTGCTCAGCCTGAGATCCAAGCTCGGCTCGGAGCAAGAAGCATGTCCTCGCACAAGCAAACAGTGTTTAAAAGGAGATTAAACACAAAAGTAATGCCTCTAATCCCAACTGCTTGGTGGGCACAGGCATCAGGCTGGAAAGGGAAGCTGGCAGGGCTGCCAGCACCACGGCAGGGCTGGGCCATGGCTCCTAATCCCACACTCAGCAATGCTGGCACAGCTCCCTCCTAGCATGAAGGATCCCTTGCTGCCTCCTTTAAAGAAGCTGGTAAGAACCAAAGGACTGGTATGATCAGCTACCCAGGGTGTTAAGTCATGTGCTTACACATAACTGCTCGATTCAGCTGCAATTAGCCTTTTTCCATCACCATGTTTATAAAGCAAAATGACAACTCGAGGAGATGTGTTGCTTATAAGATGATTTCTAAGGTGAAGAAGGCCTCTGGCTTATACTGTACCTCACTGTCTCACTACATATCTTAAGCATGTACAGCAGTTCCTAAGTTCATGTCTCTCTGTGAGGGTTACAAAAAGAGATCTACACAGCTAGCTCAGCAGAACAAGCTCCAGTTAAACCTCAGTGTGTTATCTAACACAAATTGTATTATTTCTACCAACACATCATCCAAGTTTGGTTTAATAAACAGAATCATGGGGCATGGCTGGAGCCAGAAGACACTACAATGCTAAAGGCACTTAAGTGTCCCCCCTGATTCCCACAGGCATTTGGAAGGAATTCCATTTCCCAGTGGAGTCAATGGGAAAATCAATGCACTTCAAGTAATGTTGAAGTCAACAGGAGTCTTGCCCAAGCAGGAATGAAAAATCACCAAGTCAGCTTTGAAATTCACACTTGGCTCTGAACGTGTGGCCAGAAGACTTCCTTTTATTTCATTAAAAACATGATGTTACATTAAGGAAGGGTGATACTTAATTTGTATCAGTTTTTCCCTCAATGTACTGAGTTGCAGGGTGAGGATAAACTCTTAGCAAAGGAAATGTAAGTTTATGGGTGCTTAGCACCTCACAAAATGAGGCTTAGAGCAGAAATGGGTGGTTCTTAGTTTAGAACTCTAACACTGCTCATCACGAAGTGAAAATGGAGAATGCTGCACAGAGCCAGATTAGTGTAGCTTTCTTTTAACGTTTTAATAATAAAAAAATGTTTTCATGGCAGCCAATCAAGAAATTTCTCTGTAATCTTTTATGTACTGACAACATATCAATGATGGGTATAAAAACTCTTGCAATTAGCCTTGGTCAATCCATTAGTGTAGCTGAAATTGTTCTTTTTTGTCAGATTGGCAATTTTCCACTGGGTCATGGAATATAAATCACAGAGTTCCTGTGACATTCTGCCAATACATGATTACTCTTCTCACTCAAGAACCATGTGGAAAGCATCCTAAGTTTACTGCTATTTTCTATTTATCAATTTATACTTTTGAATTTCCATCTTCTTACCAAACTATTTTATGTGAGGTACAACCCCCAGTACATCCAGTCTTAACGCAAACTCTTCTAGATTTCACTTTGATGCACATCCAGAAAGTTCAGATCCAAGACTTCTAGTACCAACAGCAGCAGTTTAGGAAATTCTTACAATCTAATTTTTTCAGGAATTCAATGTAAGGCACAATAAGCTGAAATGCTCTGTCTTAGGATCAGTCCTAGACCGAGAAAGCCCACAGCAACATCAGTCTGCTTTTCTGATCTTCTTTTTGGCTGATGCAAAATTTGCCCTTCTGACATCCAACTGCAGAGACAGATGTCATTAAGTTTTCAGCTTTGATCTGTTAAAGGAAATATAAGTAGCAGCTCGCAACCTGTTTTGTTTAGGTTAGTTTTTTTTTTCCCTTTACCTAGGTGTGATTAACCAACTGTAAAGAAGGAGGAATATTCCCTCATCTGTCTCAGGAAAAACACAGGTCAGACATGGAAGATGCCTCTCATGATGTGCAAGAGGTCCAAGAGAAGCCAAAACACTGCACTGTAACATCCTTCATTGAGCACCACACCAAAAGCCACAAAGCCAACAACCCATTTTCCAAAAGGTTGAGCTCTGCAGCAGCCTAACACTTTTTCCACGGAAGTATACAGTTAATTTAGAACGTTTCTCCACTGAACAAAAGCTGCTCTGCTAGTTCTTAATCACAGGCCGTTAAATTCACATGGCCTAAGGTGACCCTGGTGGATGCCCTTAACCCGTGCAAAGAGGCACACTCAGCCCTGCCTCTCCCCATGCAGGCAGATGACTTGGGGAAAATCTGTTCCCAGCGGGAGGCAAACATAATAGGTGATGAAATGAACTCTACCTCCCACAGGACAGATGGGAGAGGTGAAGCACGAGGAGAGAAACCACGCTGCTGAGCCAGAGAGAGCTCCACAAGCAGAGCAGAGGAAATGCCCCCGTTTTGGGGATTTAGTCTGCTCGTAGTAAAACTGTACTCTGCACACTAGAGCTGCCTACTTCCTGGGACTGTGCATGCTTTCTCCTTTAAACAGGGTCAGACTCTGCTCTCCTTCATGCCAAGGCAATTCTGTCACTGCCTCTAGATCCCAATGCAGTAAATTAATACAAGACCCTGTTTCCTGACAGGAACAGAGAATTTTCATGCTGCCTTTACCCTCTGAGTTGGACATGCAGCACTGGGCTCTGACAAACTGGCCTGGATTTTCTTTTTTGAATACAATGATAAGCTCCATGTTGGGTAGTGTTTTTCTTTAAGTAATATGCCAGATGGTCTGGGGGTGTGGTTTCTAATTTTATGAAGGGGGTTATCAGTCATCTCTGCGCTACAATATAGAGACCAAATCTGTCAGAATAGAAGAAAAACCTGCCCACTCTGACTTACAAAACTTACTTTTCCAATTAAAAATATATGTTTTGCATTGCAAGAGAGAAAATGACTGCTCTTCCTTCATTTTCCACAGATTCCGCCTTGTTACTCAGGAATATCAGACATTTTCTTCATGCATGCCTGATCCTGCAAACTCTTAGCCTACAAGATCATTCTTAATTCTCAAGTCCACCCACTGAGTTTAAACAGGGCTACTCACATGCAGAAGGACTGGCAATACCATGCACTAAAACGAGGGAGAGAATAGTCACTAGAGTGATTTTGTTCTGAGCCCCAGTTGAAAATGAGCACATGCTATAAAAGAGAAATATACCTACTGTACAAGCCCTCACTGAACTGGCTGTTCCCTAAAGGCAATTGCAGCCCTAAGGAAATATATTTCAGAAATATCATCTTACCAGGGACAACAAGAAAACATTTGATTTGCTAACTCAAGCTAATACTAAATATAGTAAACAGGCCTGATCCTGTTTACTGAGGAAAGCACAGCAATTTCAATACTCGATTAGTCACTCTGATAAGCCTTTAGTAAGAATTACTCATGACAGTAAAGTCTACAGGACTGTGCCCAGGAAAAGCAAATGTGGGTAGTAAAGACGGGTTACTCCATGAGAACCCAACCATGAGTATCTCAGAGCACAGCTTAGCACACAGGCAAAAGCAGCACTCACATAAGCAAGAAACGGGTGAAAGGCTGAATATTTTGGTTTTATTTTTTAATATTGTTTGAGTTCATGTCTTAAGGAATTACTGTTTCACAGAGAGATAGTAAAATATTTATGTCTCTTGTTTCTCTAATGGTTTCTAAACTGACAAATTGCAAGAAAACAGCAAAATGAAATGGGTAAACTTGTGGCTGACCTTCTCCATTTTTGGTCTTGCATCCTCCAGTTAATATTTGCCATGAGGTAAATAATTATTTTCTGAAATAAATTTCTCAGCTACATCTACCATTTATTCAACTCCTGCCATTGCCCCACTTGTCTGCCTGATTCACTTGCAATGGAGCTATGTGAACTTTTGCTCTCTTTCTAAGTGGTATTTAAAAATGAAGCATGTGCTTGTTACGCTGAGGTATTTGAAAAAATAATGTATTCTGGTAGCTACAGAACCCTGACTCAAAGGCAGGAGCAGTATGTACTATTTTAAAATGCTAGAATTCAGATCCAGCCCTTCTGCAACAGCAGCCAACTCCACCAAGTTCACTGGGAAAAAGATTTTAGCAGTAGTGCACTTGTCTGGTCCAAAACAGCCTTCAGTGAGGAAATATGAACTGCATACCTCTTCCCAATTGTGAAAGTTTCTTTAATTGTGGTGATAAACAACAGTGATGAAGCACTGCTCTCCAAAAATACCAAACCAATGCCAATCTGGTAATTACTAATTAGCCTCTATGGTAAAGTGTTGTGCAAGACAGAAATACACCCGTTTTCAGTGTAATGGGAAAACGTTTTCTCTCTAATCAAATGAAAATTGAAAGCTATGACTGTAAAATACATTCCTAGTGCATTCCTACTCATTAAAAGAGCACTGTACAAAAAGCAGAGAGTTAAACTCTAGAAGGATCCCGCAACTCTGAATGAAGGTGATTGGCAGAGACTTTACAAAAATACACAGCATATGGTTTAAAAGGAGATGGCCCAGTACCAATGCAAGCAAGAACTCATTCATTTTTCTCCATGTTTGTGCTTCAGCAAGATGCAGGCTTCCCCTGGGCACATCAAAGGTGCCGGGTTTATTCTCGCTCTCTACTGAGAGAAGAAATCACCAGGAACAAAGTGCATCAAGTGAAACCAAATGATAAGGAACCCAGCAATACCATGCTTCTAGATCTGATTTACTGCTGCAACGATCTGTTAAACTGCACGTTCTCACTACACCCATTTGCATGCCTAATGATGCAGAAAATAACCCTGCACTATTTTCTTTTGAAAAAAAAAAAAAAGTGTATTTTTGAGGGTAAGCTTCATATGCAGGTTTCTGTTTAAAATCAGTGCGGACCGTTTATTTTCCTTTTAATAAGGCCCAGCACTTGAAGAGACATTACTTCATTCATAAATATTGTTTCAAATATTTTAAATACCTCTAGGACAGTAGTTTAAAGATAACAGAGCAATGCAAGACCAACAACAAACCTTATGGCAATTCTTCTCCGCTGCGAGACGGAGAGAGCTCTGAAAACACGGGGGGTCACAAGGTCCCTCTCCACCCTGAACCCCACGAAGTTTTAATCCCCGATCGGCCCCTTGGCCGCCGCCTCCCTGTGACACGCATCCCAGGGCCGCCCGGCTCTCGGGGCCGGTCCCCGCACGGGTGTCGCGGGCGAGGCGCGGAGCGGCGTGCGGGGAGCGCGGGGCGTGCGGGGCCTCCCCCCGGGGCGGCGGCGGCCGACGGCGCGGAAGGAAGGAGGACGGGACTAATTTACCTACGGAGTCAATCTCCAGGAGGCGCTGCAAGTCGCGGATGCTGTGGATCTCGCTGTGCGCCAGCCGCTCGATGAGCTCCTGCGGGATCTCGGCCTCCTTCAAAGACACACACACCGCGGGTCACCGCGCAGTCCCGCCCGCAGCGCCGGGCATCCGGCGCGCCGCGCCTCTGGGCTAGCTGGGGAGGGTGCGGGGTGTTTGCGAGACATGTGGGGATGAAGCAGGGGGAAAATCCACGCACACATCCCCCCACAGCGCTCCGCGGGGCGCCGGAGTGCTCCCGCCGCCCCCGCCTGCGCGCCCGCGGGGGCTGCGCGCCGCCCGCCCGACTGCGCCACGGCTCAGCGGGGCGGCAGCTCCGCACGGCCCCGCCTGGCAGCGTGTGCCCGGCAGCGCCGAGCCCCGCGGGGCGGCTGGAGCCCACCCCGGGCAGCGGCTGCCGAAGTTCGCCCGGGCGGGTGCCAAGTCCCCCTCGGGCACGGGCTCCCCCGAGCCGGGCAGGAGGAGGAGGAGGAGGAGGAGAAGAACAGCGTCCCACGGGCCGCCGCCATCCTACCAGCGCCCACGTCGCTGCTGCCAGTGCCAAGCAGACCGGGTCCCGGGAAAAGTTACAGCCGCTGTGCAGCGCCGAGCACCGCGCTCGCCCCGACCGGGACCACCTGTAGCAGCCCCGGGACGCGGCTCCGCGCCCCCTCCGTCCCCTGCGGGCAGGCGGGCGGCAGAGCTCCCGACTGCTCCGGGGGACATTCCCAAACCGGGGAGCTGCGTTTTGGGGCGCGGGGGATTCACGCAAGTTCTGCCCGCGGCACTAGCGGTGCCCGCGGCCGCCGTGTGCAGTGCTGGGCGCCGCGGGGGCGGCCCGGCTCCGCGCACCCTCGGCTTCCGCACAGCCGCAGCCCGCTGGCACCCGCGGGGCGTGGATATTTTATCATATATTTATTATATATATACAATATATATTATATACATATTAATTCTTAAGGGCGGCCAGCAGCCCGAGCGCGGAATGCACGGTCATTCCCCTTCGCTTCTGCCATGCATGAAATGGCAACTTGCTCCCAGGCTCGGCCGCGCAGGGCCCGGGGCAGGGCAGCGCTCCCGGCGGGGCCGGGGCGCGGGGATGCCCGCGGAGCCCAGGTGGGCAGCCCGCTCCCTCCCCGGTGCCCTCCGCCGCTGCTCGCCCCGACCCCCGGCTGCGGCGTGCCCCGGGGACTGGCAGCGCAGGAAGCCGCTCTCACCTACCTCGGAGAAGGTAAAGGACAGGTACCCAAAACCTATCAGCAAAACGCAAGCCCAGGTCCTCATCGCGGTCTAGTGCACTTTAGACACGGAGGGAAGGCAACGCTGATGGAGAGGGGCTGCAGGCCGGCTCCTGCCGCGCAGGAATTCAGTACCATCCCTCAGGGGAAAGGCAGCGGGGTGGCTCGGGGGTCCTCCGCATCCAGGGTGGGTCGGGGCTGCCCGGGGCGGCGGTGGCTTAATGACGGCGCGGCCGCTGTTTGTACGTTCCCCTCGCTACGGGAGCGTGGCTGCTCTCCCTTCTGCCGCTCTCGCTCGCTCCTCTTGGCTCTTAGGACTAGACCAGCCGGTACTTCTGCATATTTGCTTAGATCAGACCAAAGTGAAACCCAAGGAGTCGATCCGGAGCGCAGCCGAAACGCCCATCACCTGTCTGGGGCGGCTGCCGCGGGGCTGAGCTCTCCGCCGAGGGCCGGCCCCCCGCGCCGTGCCTGCCCTCCACCCGGCCCCTCCGCGGAGAGGGGAAAAATCAAAAATCTTTATTGATAAGGAGCGAAATGTTTCTCTTGCCGAGAATGGTCCCGCTTCCCTCCCCGGCTGGGGCGAGGTCAAAAATAATAATTAATTAGGAATAATAGCAGGGACAAATCGGAGCGGTATTGCAGGATCTCGCGGGCTGCCTTGGTGCAGTTCCTGCTCCACTTTGCACGGGAGAAAAAGACAGAAGGAGAAGGAGGAAGGAGGGGGGAAAAAATATATATATGCAAGAAGGTTTAAATCCCAAGGGGATCGGAGACGAACTGCAACTCCAGGCAGAGGGAGGCTCGGGGCTCGCTCCGGAGCGGTGGCCGGTCTGGAGCGTGGCCCCGGCGAGGAGCAGCATATACCGCTCCCGCCCTGCCGTGCGCCGCCCCCGCCCCTCCTCCCGGGTACTCCCGGCACCAGACCCACCAACAACAAGTCGTGGGGGTGCCGGCAGCTGCGGCGCCTGCTCCAGGGCCAGGGGCTCTGCCCACTGAGAGGGGAAAACAAGGAGCCGGCGGCGGGCAGGGGTCGGGGGGAGCGGGGCAGCCCCCGCCGCCGGCCCTCTGCGGCACCGGGCGCAGGGGCGGGCGCTGCTGCGCAGCAGCCGCCGTGTAACCTGGCGGGCTCGGCCGTGTGCTCTGCCTTTACATAAGGCAGAGCGGATCGCCATGGCCACGGCGCGATCGTGTGTGCGTGTGTGTATGCTTTCTTATCGTTGTTATTCTGTTTTAGCTGGGGGGCCTTGCCTTTTGCAGAAGGGGAGGGGCAGAGCGGCGGAGGGTTGTGGTGTGCGGGTTTTAACGTTGCTGTTGCAGCGCAGCCTTCATTGCAAGGACAACACGCACGCACAGCCTTAAGGAATACAAAAGCACCCCCAAAACTGCACGAGAGGCGGCGGGGCGGTGCGGGCGGGGGGCAGCGGAGCCCTCCGCCCTGCGGCACCCGGCTGCGGCATGCGCGGGCGCGGGGCTCCCCGCCGCGGCCGCGGAGACGCCGCGCCCCGGGGCTCCGCCGCAGCCGGACCCAGCCTTCGCAACTGCTCCGGCTTCCCGCAACTGCCCCGGACCCCCACCCTGGACCCCCGCAACTGCCCCGGCCCGCATCCCGCACCGACCCTCCGCAACTGCAGCCGGCCCGGGCCCCCCGCAGCCCGTCCCGAACCCCGCAGCCGGCCCCGAGCCGGCCCCGCCGCTCCGCAGGGGCAGCTCGCGTTCCCTTCGCATCCTCCCTCCTCGCCGCCCCGGCGAGAAATTGCCCCCGTTCTCCCGGCGCGGATTGGCACAAGGTGCCTGCTGCACCCTGACATCTCCCTGAACTCATTGTGATTTAAATAACAGCCCTTTCTCATCTAAACAAAGGTTCTTAATAGCAGATGCAAAGAATTCAGCTCATCTGAAAATCCAATAGCATTTAAGTGGATTAACTGCAATAACACAACTGAGGAGTGATACTATCCTTCATGGAAGACAATAGACTGTAAATGCACAGCCAGGGAGACTTATCCTTTCATCTCTGAATTTCCTTCAGCATTTCAAAAGCGAATGCTTTCTAGAAGCCCTGAAGGGGTTTGCACGCTACTGGCTTGGACATGCTTCTAGGAAACAACCTGTGCTTTAATGGGCACTTTGCAATTGCATAGAAGTTCCCACCAAAACAGAAGTGGCCTTTCAAGTACGTTTAATTCTCTCTCATGATGTCATGTAGGCTTACAGGGTGGTCTCCAGGACCACAAGGAGGGGGAAAAAAAGGTGGGGGTTGGAAAGAGAGAGAAAAGGAAAAGAGATGTAAAAGATTTGGAAGCACTTTAAAAAGCAGAATGCTGCTTTTTTTTTTTTTTTTTTTTTTTTTTTTTTTTTTTTTTAAGACAGAAAATGCTGAGCCAGTGTGGAGCCATTCTCAAATGCCTCCTGATATAAAAAAAATGACCCAAGTGCTACACTGCAGCAGAGCTATCCATGCAGGGCAGGAGGAGGCAGAGCAGGGCAGGACACTCTGGTAGTGCCATCACTTTCTTACATGGCAGAAGTAAAAAGCAATTACTTCAATTTAAAAAAAAAGTCTCATCTGCACAGTCTCATTTGCTGGGGTTAAAGAAGCAATTCTTATGGTCTGTGTTGTCATAGTAATAAAAAAAAATAATTACTAAACAGTGAAATAGATTCTGACAGTACCGGCTGGCTGAGCATTTACTCCTCTCCTTCCTTCCTTGGTTAGCTAGTGCATTTGGGATCAGAAGTGCTGTATATTTGTAGCTCTTGCTAGTGGTATTCCACTGCAAAAGCCAACAGAGATAACTCCTGCTTTATCTTATGGCAAAAAAAAAATCTATGCAGTTTTGATTTTTCTTATATTTTCCTCATTTTACGAGACATACTGCATCAGCATCTTTTTTTAATCTGTCATTGTGGAGCTCAGATAAGCATCTTTCCTCTGGGTCAAGTTACACTTGGAGTAGCTTTTAACATTAGACTGTTTATAGGGATCATTACAAGTATTTGATAACGCAAAATATGTAAGATCCCAGAGGAGAGCGAAGACCAGGAAACATAAATAAAATTCACACAGATTCTGCAAATAACTTTATACTTAGGTTGTCTGTCTGCTTACAAAACACATTTTGTCCTTGTCTATTGTTTGATCTAAAATTGCATTTGTTGCCTCTAAGTCCTTACATACAGCTGTGTGAAAAACAAAACACCAGTGCATGTTTTCTTCAGCATGGCAACTTCCTACACATCTATTGCACATGTGTGCACCAAACATGAAATATCACCTTTTATGTAATACCCACAAGCCACCCGTGAGGAAGGAGTGACAGCATGGTAGTTACAGGTTTAAAAGGAAATCAGTACCAAGAACAGAGTGTCAGAAAATTAGGTTTTACACTTTTTTATTTATCTGAGAGCAGCGAGCAAGATATTGCTTGTCTAATTTAAAGCACACACTGTTAGAAGTCTCTCAAATGTCAGGAATTATAATAGAATTACACCATGACAGAGTGTTGAGAGGGAGGATTCCCAGGGTTTGCACAGCACTTGCCATGGGGGAAGGGATGCAGAAGCTCATTGACGTGAAATGAGACCACTTCAGTGTCACCAGTGCTGCTTTCTGCGGTGGAGTCACCTGAAGCTGGAGTGCCCCAAACCAGACTTCCAGCACCCACTACAGAGCTCGTTTAAATCTCTGCTGGCTCAGCTCTTAGAAACACAGGCCAGGCAATGTAAGAGGACCAACTGATGCTCCACAGATGCGTGCTGGGGCTGGAGGAAGGTCACTGGGGGAGGTGCAGCCAGGGATGGCCAGCAAGCTGGGCGCTGTGGTGCTCGGAGGGGGCACTGGGCTGGCTCTGAGGTGGTACCTGAAGCCCAGGACATCTATTTCAGAGCTCAGGCTGGAACAACGCTTGTTTGACCCTCCTGACAAATCTTGAGGTTGCAAGAGGAATAATTTCATTGCAATGACATTCCTGCTGAGGGAGTCTTGGGAAACCTGAGTTTTTTCAGATTTGATTTTAGTGGGGCTTTTGCCTCGTAGGTAATCCAGCTAAAATTAACAAAACAATGGGTTGGGTAAGGGATTTTGTTGGAAGAGTGGCCTGCTTTTATTGCAGTGTGTGTTTGGGACTGGCCAGAGCTGCTCAGTGTGTTCTGCAGGATACATCCTGCCACCACATCTGTCCAGGCTCTGGGAAGGAGCCATAGGAAATACTCTCAGCAATTTGGACCTGCACCATTCTGTCAGTGCCCCACAGTGTATAACAAAGGATAAAAGTGCAGAACATAAAATCCAGAAAGCTCGATAGAAAGATCACCAACTTTGGGTGGTTCCTCTCCGGTTTTGAACATTTTTTTGGCCTGTAGCTTCCGAGGGGCATGTGGCCATGGTGGGGGGCGGGTGTTTTCCTGCTCTGCAGCTCAGTTGCTGCCTGCCTGTGGAAAGGCATGAGGCTGGCACAGGTGCAGGTGCAGTGCAGGCAAGGATTACAAATGCAGTAGGCACTGATGGCAGACACACCATTCCCTTTCCAGAATCTCAGCCCATAAAGAACAGCAAGGAAAGCTGCAAGGAGAACGAACAAGGCTGTTATTATTCCAGCTAGTGCACCTACAAACATGATTTCCTTCTTTTCCAGTTCTTCCTTTTGGATCATTGTACTGGCTTCGTCCTTCTGGCTGAGCTCTGTTGTCTTTGTAACTTTTGGTGGTGCACCTTTCCAGAGGCTTTCACAGTTGATAATTTTCTTAAATAGTCATGAGATGCAAATCTGCTACAAGGTTTCAGCTAAGAAGAGTGATCAGAAGTGGTGTGGAAAGATTTTATGATGTCTCTGCCCCAAACACAGAGGGTGGCCCTGGCCAGCATCCCCTTACGTAGGTTGACATTTAAAGCTACAATATTTCTGGAGATGTCTTGCTCTGTTATGAATGGGGCAGGGTCCCTGCTGAGCTGATCCTCCACCCAAAATTGCCCTTTTGACTTCAGTGGGGGTTGGACCCAATTGTCTCCAGAGTCATTACTTGGTTTGACAGCCAAGAGACACAGTAACGCTCTTGCTAATGTGCTCCTCTCTCCCCCAGTGCCCAGCTGCTGCTTGCCCAGGAGCTTCAGCAGCACGGCTGAAAGTGAGGAACTGTTTGACCTTCCCTGCTGCCACAGCCACTGCTGAGTGACACACAGTTCACCTTCAGGGCTGGAGCACGAACTGGCAGCCCTGCCAGCCTGGGTAGCAAGATACCATGTTTAGGCATTAAACTAGGGCACTTGCATACCAGCACTGGCCGCTATTTTAGTGGGTATATGAAGCTGATCCCTGCTCCCCACCCCTGTGGGACAAGGGAGCTGCTGGGAGTGTGGGATATCCTCTGCCTGGTGGATAAAGCTGTTAAAAATGGGCTGTGTTTTGTCAGCAATATGTA